GTCAGCTAATTTCAGCCTTAGGGTTTAAAATTATTCAAAATCGGTGACGTATCGCAAAACTGCAAGTGCAAAGGTGAAGCGTTGGTTTCTCATTATTGTTATTCATAGCGGAGTTTTCTTATCCTATGAGATGAGCCGGCTGCTTAATTATTCATGACTGTGCGTGCTTTCCGAAGGCAAGGCAGACCTGCCAGTGCCAAGCTGTGAGATCCTACATTGATAACTGGGTGAGACCGCGTCCACAGACCCACGGCACACAGTATTTAGCTGTTCATAAAGGGTCGTATGTGTTTGTTGCATGTTTTCCACGCGATGCTGTCAGGGCCGATACAGCAAAGCTGTTTGTTTGCAGCAAGGATTTTTGCAGACACTACAGATCTAAAGTTTAAAAGATGCTTGCTCAGCTGTTTAACTGTCAGCTTAGGATTTGAATCCGACGCGGAAGAAAGTAGTTCCTTATACAAAAGGGTTTTTGAGACTCTCCATGTTTTTATATACACAATTATGCCGTCAAACTGTTGTATAAACGCAATATCACATTCATAGCAGTGAGATATGGCTGTATATCGGCACTGGTTGGGGCACTAAGGCACAACGCACGCCTCCCACCAGTGCCGATATACAGCCATATCGCAATGCTACTCGTGTGATATTGCTCATTAATCATGAAAATATTGCAATCAGTCATTCTTACCTTTTTCTTTGTCCTTTTACAGAGAAGATTCTGGCCATTATCTTGGCTGTGGTCGGGGCGGTGTTGGCTCTGCTGATCGTCGCACTTGTAGTTGTGTGCGTCATTCGAAAGTAAGTCTTGGATCTGCTGTTAGATTTCTTCATGGACATAAAAATCTTCTTTTTTTTTCAACAAAAACATTGCTATAATAATATTGACCTTAAATGTCTTTAAACAATTAAGAACTGCTTTTATTCTTGCTGAAATAAATAAATAAAATAAGTAAGACTTTCTCCAGAAGAACAAATATTATAGGAAATACTGTGAAAAATTCCTGGCTCTGTTAAACACCATTTAGGAAATATACATTAAAAATGCCTAATAATTTTGACTTCATCTGTAAACTCTTTTTAATTTGTCTCATTTTAAAGGAAACACAAACCCAGCGGCAACAGATCCTCCATCTACATTCCCAAAGGCAAACCAGTCCTGCCTGGCAATGCAACATTCCCGAAATCCAGAACGGATAATGAATCTCACGTCTACGCCTCTATTGACGAAACGATATACAACCGACACCTGGACACGAACCATCCCGCAGACAGCAATAATGGTACCTGGACCAACGGCCATCAAGTGGACACCTACCGTCCATTCCTAGGACCCACCGACTCTATCCCAACGGATCAGGATCTGCCTGACGGTTATTCGCTGGATAGAGGAAGAGATAAAGACGTGTTTCAGCCGTTCCTTACTCCCCCCAACACCTTCAATCTCCCGAGGCCTCGTTCGCCGCTCATCTCGCAGGGGAGTCTGGGATTCGAGGATCGCAGGATGGTGGATAATGAGCTCAACACTTTTAAGGCTGCCGGAGATATAAACCCGATTCGTTTATCGACTGACGAATGCAAACTTCGGCCGCAGATGGATTCGGACTCGGATTCTTATCACGAGCCAGAATACGAGGAAGCCATGTGATTTATTCGCTACAATTTTTTTATGTAAAACTAAAGCAGATTGGACGCTCTCTCTATCGCCGCTCTAGTGGTCGTATGTGTGTATTGCATGTATAGTTTGGTTTTAACGATTTTTATCGTGTTTTAGCCTGAACGAACACTCTTATTGGTGCGAGTCGGATCCGTTTAGGGAAAACGTGACTTTCTTTATTGGATGTTTGTTTTTAATTTTGTTATGTTTTCATTGATTTTCCTCCAGGCTGCAGGTTTCGTATGTGTTTGTTGACGTCGTGCATTCCTAAAATAAATTCTCAGGTATTTTAATAGATGTTTCTCTGTGTTCGGAGTATATCATGAGGGTTCAATACACACCGCAGAGAGTCACACACACACTTTGAATGGACGTGAACTCAACACAACTCTGTGGAATAGATTTGCAAATTTATTAAGATAAAATTTAAGATGCACTACCTGACAAAAGTCCTGTCGTGAATTCCAGTTGTAATAGTGACAAATAATAACTTTGCTTCTAGTTGATCATTCGGAAAAGTGGCAGAAGGTAGATTTGATCTGTAGATCTGCATCCCAATACTACAGAAGACCTACTGGCACCAGCATGGAGCAAGATTCTCAGAGAAATCAGTCAAGTTTGATGTAGGAAAAATCATGGTTTGGGGTTACATTCAGTGTGGGAGAGATCTGCAGAGTGGATGGCAACATCTACAGCCTGAGGTATCAAGACATTTGTGCTGCCCATTACATTACAAACCACAGGAGAGGGCAAATTCTCTAGCAGGATAGCGCTCCTACTAATACTACAGCCTCCACATCAAAGCTCCTGAAAGCAAAGAAGTTGCTCCAGGATTGGCCAGCCCAGTCACCAGACATGAACATTATTGAGCATGTCTGGAGTAAGATAAAGGAGGGGGCATTGCAGATGAATCCAAAGAGTCTTGATGAACTCTGGGAGTCCTGCAGGAACGCTTTCTTTGCCATTCCAGATGACTTTATTAATCAGTGATTTGAGTCATGTCAGAGATGTATGGATGCAGTCCTCCAAGCTCATGATGGAGTCAGACACAATATTCATTCTGTCTCCACTGCAGTATGACTTTATATTCTATACTGGACATTATTTCTGTTCAGATACAAGACTTTTGTCTGAGCAAAGTCAGACCTTATTGTCCTAATGAAATCCTTAAAAGTCAAGGCATGATCATATTTTATAGTGTAATCTAGAGGCCTTTCATATAAGACACTTTTGATACCAAATGATCAACTAGAAGTCAAGTTGTCACTTGCTATTCCTAAATCTTGAAAAGGCGACAGGACTTTTGTCAGGAATGTAAAAGCTGTCTGATATTCATGTAGTCTGGTATATGTTTGATATTAAAGTATGATGTTTTCTAAACTGAATAAACCTTGATACTTTTTAAAGGCTAAATAATTTAAAAGTAAATGTCAATAAAAAAATCTAATTTTCAGATTTGTGAAAATAAACATTTTACATTATTTACAGTGTTAGATGGCACTAAATATATATATACAGTTGAAGTCAAAATTATTGACCCCCTGTTTATTTTATTTCTCCCCATTTCTGTTTAACAGAGAGCAGATTTCTTTCAGCACATTTCTAATCATAATAGTTTTAATAACTCATCTCTAATAACTGATTTATTTTATCTTTGCTATGATGACAGTAAATAATATTTGACTAAATATTTTTCAAGACACTTCTATACAGCTTAAAGTGACATTTAAAGGCTTAACTAGGTTAATTAGGTTAGCTAGGCAGGTTAGGGTAATTAGACAAGTTATTGTATAATGATGGTTTGTTCTGTAGACTATCAGAAAAAAATAGCTTAAAGGGGCTAATAATATTGACCTTAAAATGGTGTTTAAAAAAAATTAAAAACTGCTTTTATTCTAGCTGAAATAAAACAAATAAGACTTTCTCCAGAAGAAAAAATATTATCAGACATACTGTGAACATTTCCTTGCTCTGTAAACATCATTTTGGAAAAAAAAAAAATATATATATATATATATATATATATATATATATATATATATATATATATATATATATATATAAAATCAAAGGGGGCTAATAATTCTGACTTCACCTGTATATATAGAAAACTAATGAGGGTGTATCTGTATGTCCTATTTGTTGATATCTGTCAGCCAATATTGTGCAAACCTATTAAGAATGTGAAACTAAACTGATATTTAAAGGTGTGTGTGTGTTTATATATATATATATATATATATATATATTTTTTTTTTTTTTTTTTCTCCTGGAGAAAGTCTTATTTGTTTTGTTTCGGCTAGAATAAAAGCAGTTTTTAATTTTTTAAACACTATTTTACGGACAAAATTATTAGCCCCTTTAAGCTATATTTTTTCCTCGATAGTCTACAGAACAAACCATCATTATACAATAACTTGCCCAATTATCCTAACCTGCCTAGTTAACCTAATTAACCTAGTTAAGCCTTTAAATGTCACTTTAAGCTGTATAGAAGTGTCTTGAAGAATATCTAGTCAAATATTATTTACTGTCATCATGACAAAGATAAAATAAATCAGTTATTAGAAATTAGTTATTAAAACTATTATGATTAGAAGTATGTTGAAAAAAATCTCTCCGTTAAACAATAAACAAGCAGTCTAATTCAGGGGGGCTAATAATTCTGACTTCAACTGTACATATACATAAATATGTATACACACACACACACACAAACACATACATACAGTGCTCAGCATATACAAGTAAACCCTTCACACATCTCTCTTTTAAATTCATATTTTTAATAGGAAAGCTCTACAATATTATATTTGTGCATATACATCAGATCAGCCAGTACTGAAGCCAAATCTAGAGATTATCTAACAAAATAACTTACGAAAACGGTCCAAAAACTAGTACATCCAACTGTATATGTTATAGAAAAATATTAAATACAAATTTATAAAAAAAGAGGAAAAATTCAAGAGGCAAAAAAAGTGAAAAATTTAGTAGGTTGTAATTTATTTTTGCAATATTTTGCTTAAATGTAATTGTATTATCTTTTAATTTCTAATTATTTTTGTTGACTAAAATATTATTTTAATAAATATATGTTTAATCTGTTTTGTTCAAATGCACCACAATACATTGCCTATATTCACTGAGAAATGGAGGAAAATATTCATTTTCAAAATGTGCTGTACTCAATTATGCTGAGCACTGTGTGTGTATGTGAGTAACAGGCATGAGCCGTATACCTTGAAAACGGTAATCGTCCCATGGTGTGTAATAGCTGTGAGTTTTATGTAAATCTGCAAAATTGTGTGAAATGAAACCGCACAAGCTCATTTTTTTTAAAACCTATTTATTGCGATGAAATGATATATGTTCTGGCTATATCAGGCTAGACATTAGTTTGTTAGAAAATAAACAAGTAAACAAAGCTAGCGATCTGAAATAATCATCGTTTCCATCAGGTGTCTGGAGTTATCCGTCAAACAGCCTGGTCTGATTCATGTTGTTTGTTTTGTTTGTGTGTTGGCCTCGTCTTATTGGAGACAGTCCAATCATGCTCTTGATTACAGTGTTGGATCTCTGATTATAGATCTGCTTTTGTGTCTGAATGTTTGTGTGGAGTGCACTGACAATGGGGTCAGAAAAATCTACAATTAGGAAGCAAACGCAATGCAAGCAGGATTGTGAAATGGAAAGGAGCGCTGAGATGAATCGATGAGGATTTCCAACGCAATCTCACGGCAATTCGTAACTTTTTCTATTTAGTGGCTAATTCGTATCAATTCGTACGATCGAATTCGTACAATTTAGTACGATTTGCTCATCACCCAATGACGGTTAAGGGTTAGGGGTGGGGTTAGGTGCCACGCCTCCTTTTTAAAATCGTACAATTTCGTTCAACTGAACTCGTACGAATTAGCCACTAAAGTGACAAAACGTAAAAGATCGGGCTGGGATTTCAGACAATGTTGAACTCGCAGATGGAAGCGCGCTCCTCACGACAGCTCTCGTCCAGCCACTTTCCGCCAGACGTGAGCACGGCGCAGTTTTGCGCGCTGCCGCCGTCAGGTTGCGGAAGCTTCCAGTTCTTGTATCTGATGGCTGAGCCGGTCTGATCGGTCCACAAGCCCTCGGTCTGCATGTCGTTTACACCCAGCCAGATCTCGGCGTCCGCTGAAATGCTCTGTCGCATGTATTCGTAGAGCTGTGTGTTTTGGGCGGAGCTCAGGGGAGTGGCCAGGATTCCTCCTTTAGCGATGCAGTCTTCATTGGCTGTGTGGTAGCGCTTCTTCATGGAGTCCGCCAGAAAACACTTACCATGGATCTTTGTGCCCTTCAGACAGACTGGAGGAGAATGAAACCATAAAACATTGATTTTAACGTTTAAATTGTTATATATAAATGTAAAACAGCCGTTTGATGTTCTTTTGAAATTAAAAAATATGTATATATTGGCTGCGTGTCCACCGAAGTGTTTTTTCTTCTTTTCTCAAGCTAAGCAATGCAGACTTCTCTACTATATAGCATGCTAAAACAGACTGTGAAAGATATGGACGTAATATCCGTGACATCGCCAACCGTCACCATTTCGTTCGCACTTTATTGCGGGGGGTGAAGAGGCGGAGCTACAGATGCCTGCTAGCATTTTGCTTAGACAAGCTTTTCTTTGGGAGAAACACTTAATATGGGGCAGCATGGTGGCGCAGCGGGTAGCACAATCGCCTCACAGCAAGATGTATATGCAGTTCAGCAGCTAATCAGCCGGAATCAGCAAGACCTAGCTGTCACTCAAGTAGCCACTCTCTTTAATATGCAGACTTCATTCATTCATTTTCTTGTCGGCTTAGTCCCTTTATTAATCTGGAGTCGCCACAGCGGAAGGAACCGCCAACTTATCTAGCAAGTTAAGTCTCTGGGAAACATTCACACACACACACTACGGGCAATTTAGCCTACCCAATTCACCTGTACCGCATGTCTTTGGACTGTGGGGGAAACCGGAGCATCCGGAGGAAACCCACGCGAAGGCAGGGAGAACATGCAAACTCCACACAGAAATGCCAACTGAGCCGAGGCTTGAACCAGCGACCTTCTTGCTGTGAGGCGACAGCACTACTTACTGCGCCACTGCTTCGCCATATGCAGACTTAATAAAACTTAATAAAAACAAAATGGATGAATTATAAAAAAAATGCACCCCCTCACAGCTGTCATGAAGGGTAATATTAGCCAAACGCACCAAAACCATCGCTTGTACCAGGCTGGAAACGTTTTTAACAGCTGTAAAACTAGCCAATTTAGCATTACATTCAGCGAACATCTGGAGTTGCTGGAGCCAGCCCCCCAAAGGCCAGTGGATGAATTGCAGTTTCAGTTACTTCCACATTGGCTTCACGAGGGAGAGCGGGATGTTGCTGCTTGGTTAAAATCAGTATGCGAGCGGAGTAGTATGCTAATAATAAAACAGTATCTCACCGGTCTGCAGAGCCTGCTGCTCTTTCAGAAGGTTGAGCTCCTCCACGATATCACTGATCTGCTGCTGAAGATCCTCTAATGCAGCGCTGACTCGAGACTCTGAGTCTGGACAATCACACAACAGACATCCTCACTTATATTCTGCCTCAAATCAAGCATTTTCACACCATTAAATAAACAGTTTAGTGTAAAATGAACATTCTGGAATCATTAACACTTCTTTAAATGTGTTTGAGCTTCTTTTTACAGCTGCGCACAAAGGAAGATATTTGGAAAAATGTTGGAAAAAACTGTTGGAAACGGTTTCTGCCATACTTCAGAATATCTTCCTTTGTGTTCAGCAGAAGAGAGAAAGACGTAAATGTTTACTTTATATATAACTTGAGTTAAGTAATTGATGAGTAAATGTTCATTTTTGGGGTGAACTGTGTAATAATTAAAATAAATAAAAAAAACATTAAACATTTTAATAAGTATCAATTAATACTGATTTAAAATAAGAATCATTAAAGAGAACAGTGAGACATCCAAAATAAAATAAAATAAAATTAATTTAAATAAATTAAATTTAAATAAATAAATAAAATAAGATAAAATAAACTAAATAAATTAAAATAAAATAAAAAAATGAAAAATTAAAATACATAAAAATAAAATTAATTAAAATAAAATAAAAAATGAAATAAATTAAAATACATAAAAATAAAATAAAATAAATTAAAATAAAATAAAATTCAAAATAAACTTTAATTAAATTAAAATTAAAAAATAAACAAATTAAATTAATTGAAATAAAATAAAAAATAAAATAAATAAAATTGAATTTATGATCAAGAAAGTGAGCGAACAGGAAATTCTGTGCAGCTGCTGTTGAAATGCTGTATATTTAAGAAATTACTATAATACTTTAATGCTTCAACATTAATAAAAAAGTAATAATATTGACATATTAAATAAATAATTTTGTGTTGCTACATTTTCTTTAAACTATGAATTTTTGATTTTTATTAATTAATGCACTGTTAAAAAAGATCTTGCTGCCCTACATTAAGTTAAATCAAATGAACTTATCAAGTCCTCACAACTTGCATTAATCAAACTGACAAACATACTAAGTTAAACTTTGTAACAGTTAAAAAAAAAGACTAAACCTGATTAACTTGAGTATGAGTTAATGAGTTTAAATACACATACATTCACTGGCCACTTTATTAGGTACAGATTACTGGTATTGTGTTGGACCCCCTTTTATTCCTTCATGGCATAGATTCAACAAGCCACTTGAAATATTCCTCAAAAACTTTGGTCCATATTAACATGATAGCTTCACGCAGTTGCTGCAGATTTGTCAGCTGCACATCCATGATGTGAATCTCAGTTTCCTGTTCTTAGCTGACAGGAGCGGCACCCGGTGTGCTCTTCTGCTGCTGTAGCCCATCCGCCTCAAGGTTGGACGTGTTGTGCGTTCAGAGATGATCTTCTGCAGACCTCATTTTTATTAAGTGGTTGTTTGAATTACTGTTGCCTTTCTATCAGCTGGTACCAGTCTGGCCATTCTCCTCTGAGCTCTGGCATCAACAAGGCATTAGCGCCCACAGAACTGCCGCTCACTGGATATTTCCTCTTTTTCAGACTATTCTCTGTAAACCCTAGAGATGGTTGTGCGTGAAAACCCCAGTAGATCAGCAGTTTCTGAAATACTCAGAGCAGCCCGTCTGGCACCAACAACCATGCCACGTTTAAAGTCACTTAAATCCCCTTTCTTCTCCATTTTGATGCTCACTTTGAACTGCAGCAGATCGTCTTGACCATGTCTACAAGCCTAAAGTTGCTGCCATGTGATTGGCTGATTAGAAATTTGCATTAATGAGCAGTCGGACAGGTGTACCTAATAAAGTGGCCAGTGAGTGTATATAATACAAATATTTACTCTACAGATTTATTCGAACACATAAATTGCTTGCACCTTATTTATTTTTTTCCATATTTAACACAGGATAACTCTGATAAACCAGTTAAAGGGGTTTTAACTCTCTCTTTAACATGGATTAACCACATTTAGCTTCAAATGAATGTAAATGAAAGGACAGGCGATGGTTTACCTTTTTTGTCAGGTGTTTTCTTCTTGCTGGTGTTTTGTTGCTGGAGTGAGGAGTGTGTGAAGAGTGTGAGCAGCAGCAGCGGCAGCAGAAAACGTCCGTCTCTGAGTGTCATGATGGAGCTCTGGAAGATCACTGAACAAACACAGCTGTGAAGAGAAGAGACTGAGAGAGAGAGATCAGGAGTGACGCCCTTAACACACACACACACATACACACACGCACGCGCACACACACACACACAGCAAAAATACTTTCTTACTTAAACTTTTTCTCTAGTTTCTAGAAGCATTTTACAGACAAGCAAAACATATAGTCTTGTTTCCAGAAATAATATGCCAAAATTAAGCGAGTTTTTCTTTAGAACAGGCTAAATACTCTGCCATGGGGTCAGAGAACATTGTTTCAGCACATTTCTGATCATAATAGTTTTAATAACTCATCTCTAATAACTGATTTATTTTATCTTTGTCATGATGACAGTAAATAATATTTGACTAGATATTCTTCAAGACACTTCTATACAGCTTAAAGTGACATTTAAAGGCTTAACTAGGTTAATTAGGTTAGCTAGGCAGGTTAGGGTAATTAGGCAAGTTATTGTATAATGATGGTTTGTTCTGTAGACTATCGAGAAAATATAAAGCTTAAAAGGGCTAATAATATTGACATTAAAATGGATTTAAAAAACTTAAAAACTGCTTTTATTCTAGCCGAAATAAAACAAAAAAGTCTTTCTCCAGAAGAAAAAATATTATCAGACATACTGTGAACATTTCTTTGCTCTGTTAAACATCATTTGGAAAATATATAAAAAAAAGAAAAATAAATTCAAAGGGGGGCTAATAATTCTGACTACAACCATATATATAGCTTTAAAACATTTTCCTAAACTAAAACTTGACAAGATCATTTTTTTCAGGTTGGAAATATTTTATATCATTAATACACTAATACTCTTCATAAGCCAGTGTTTCCCCTCTTTCACTTTTAGTTTTAGTAATTATGCTGTTTTTGTGTTCTTATTTTGCTAGATATTGTATAGTTCACATAGCATTTTGCTATTAAATTCTAATAACTTTTAAAAAAATTTCCAATAATTAAAAATGTATTTTAATGTTATTAATATTGCTAATACTACCTTTTTTCTTTTGCTTAAAATTCATCATTTTTCTAGCATTTATATTTCCGTTGAAAAAGATTTTGCCAAAATATGTGAAAAATACTTTATTATTTTATAATTTATAGGATATGCAGACACACACAGATATAGTCAGAATTATTCGCCCCCCCTAGATTTTTTTCACCCTTTTTTTTAATATTTCCAAAATGATGTTTAACAGAGCAAGGAAATTTTCACAGTATTTCCTATAATATTTTTTCTTCTGGAGAAAGTCTTATTTGTTTTATTTCGGCTAGAATAAAAGCAGTTTTACATTTTTTAAACACCATTTTAAGGTTAATGTTATCTGCCCCTTTAAGCAATATATAACTTGCCTAATTACCCTTATTAAGCCTTTAAATGTCACTTTAAGCTGTATAGAAGTGTCTTGAAAAACATCTAGTAAAATATAATTTACTGTCATCATAGCAAAGATAAAATAAATCAGTTTTTAGAAATGAGTTATTAAAACTATCATGATTACAAATGTGTTGAAAAAATCTTCAGGAGGGCTAATAATTCAACTGTACATGCACACACACACAAATAAGTGTAAGTATATGTAAAACAAAACAATATTTATTATTTAGCATTATATCTTCATGTTGATTTGAGATGACTGCACAAGTAAATCTGGACATTTAGGCTGATTTCACTGAGACAGCAGCAGGTTTGAGTTTTGCTCAGAGCAGTCTGAGGTCTGCTCAGGACACATTTCCCATCAGGCATACCTCTCGCGTATGATATTGTTATCTGCTGTTTGTTTTGGATTCGTGATGCCGCAGGAAGAAGCAGTGAAGCTATTATGGGATGGAATAAATCCAGGCTGACAGCAGCTGTGGAGAGTCTGACCGCTCAGATCTTCCTCAGGCGACACGTGGCAGAAGAAAAGCCACAAGAAGACTGAAAAATCCCTCTCAACACAGCGGAACTTTTTATTTTATGCAAATTAAAGGGAAAAAAATGGCTTCTGAATGCAGGAAAGGACTCAATTTTGTCCTAAACTAAATGATTTGTGTTGGCTTTCTATTGGTTGATCATATGTGATTGGCAGGTTGATCCCGCCCTCACACCAATAAACACCAATCAGAGATGTTGATGAAGAGAAGGGTGGAGATCATTTGATTAAAGGTAATAAGATAAAGATAACTACAATGTTGCAAAATGAAACACGGTGGCTCAGTGGTTACCAGTCGCCTCACAGCAAGAAGGTCGCTGGTTTGAGTCCCGGCTAGGTTAGTTTGCATTTCTGTGTGGAGTTTGCATGTTCTCCCCGTGTTGGTGTGGGTTTCCTCTGCATGCTCCGGTTTCCCCCACAGTCCAAACACATGCGCTATAGGGGAATTAAAGAAACTAAATCGGCTGTATATGTGTGGATGAGTGTGTATGGGTGTTTTCCAGTACTGGGTTGCAGCTGGAAGGGCATCCGCTGTGTAAAACCTATGCTGGATGAGTTGGCGGTGCATTCTGCTGTGGCGACCCCAGATGAATAAAGAGACTCAGCTGAAGGAAAATGAATAAAATAAGAATTATTTTGGTTTCATGGCTGTTAGTGGATAATTATTACTTTCCTCACATGACATATTAAAGATTGCAGGCATCGCAAGAATGGGATTGTGAAGTTTCAGCTCAAAATGACCTCAGAAACCATTTAAAAGTGCTTATTGTGTTGAAGCAAAAACACGCTCTTTGTGTGTCTTTAAATGCAAATGAGCTGCAGCACTCCACCCCTTTTCCAGAAGAGGGCGGAGCCTTTAAAGCTTGTGCCTTGCTTACTCGAGTAGCAATAAACAATACATCTACATGTGTTTAGTCGGTTTAAATTCCTGATATTTTTCGGACTACACAGACATGAAGACACAAAATGTAAAACGTAAACACTGCATCACATGATTGTTAAACTAAATCAGATTTATAAAAGCTTATATATAAAAGTGTAATGTTGGTTATGTCTGTGAATGTACCTGAATGTGTATCAGTATGTTAGATGTGTGAAACAGGTGACCACACTATAAATGTCAATTTTACAGACTCCGCCCCCTTTTAGCATGAGTCAATTATATTTAGGATATTGCGATATGTTCATTTCTGGAGGAAAAGTATTTATGCTTAATAAATATGCTGGACTTTTTTTGTGCTCAAACAATAGCATTTGAAGAATGCATGTCAAAAAATGACCGAAGAAACATGTAAAAAGCCTAAAATATTAAATATAAAAGAAAAAGTCATATTTTAAAGGGATAGTTCACCCAAAATAATTAATTTGAAATGGAGTCAGATCTGAGTTTCAGTAGTCATGTCAAAGCAGTTAGTAAATCAGCATACAATCATCTCAAAAGCATTGCGAGAATCAGATGCTTTGTTTCCAGTGAGAAACTTGTTCATGCTTTTATCAGCAGCAGGGTGGATTACTGTAATGGTCTCCTCACTGTCCTTCCCAAAAAGACAGTCAAGACTGTTGCAGCTCATACCTAACACTGCGGCCAGGATTCTGACCAGAAGCAGGAAATCAGAGCACATCACACCTGTCCTCAGGTCTTTACACTGGTCCCAGTTACATTCAGAATAGATTTTAAAGCATTATTACTCGTCTATAAACCACTAAATAGCCTAGAAGCTCAATACATTACAGATATGCTCACTGAACACAAACCTAACAGATCACTCAGATCTTTAGGATCATATAAAACAGAAATTCCAAGAGTTCAGTCAAAGCCGTGTGAATCGGCCTTTAGCTACTAACAGCGCCCCCTACTGCTGGAATCAGCTTCCAGAAATGATCAGATGTGCTCCAACATTAGGCACATTCACATCAAGACTGAACACACATCTGTTTAGCTGTGCCTTTGCTGAATGAGCACTGTGCTGCGTCCGACAGATCACACTATTATGTCTTTCTTTTCTTTTTCATTCTTTTATAACCTGTTTAACACATTTTAATCTGTTTTTAATCACTTTTATTATTTGTTTTTATTTTTTTTACACTTGTCTTTTTTATTCCCGTTTATGTAAAGCACTTTGAATTGCAACTGTGTATGAAGTGTGCTATACAAATACACTTGCCTTGCATTTACTCACTGTAAAAAATTATTAGTTGACCTTACTCAAAATGAGTAAACTTCTTGATTAAAAAAAAAAGTAAGCACATTGCCTTTAACTTTTAATTTTCAAGTAAATGAACTGTGCATAATTAAAAAAAATATATATATATGTTAAATCAACTAAAAAGTTACAAGTTACAACAGGTTTACTCGCCTTAAGTCAGTCAGGGGTCTCCAAACTCGGTCCTGGAGGGCTGGTGTCCTGCAGATTTTAGCTCCAACCTGCCTCAACACACCTGCAAGGATGTTTCTAGAAACCCTAGTAAGAGCTTGATTAGCTAGCCCAAGCGTGTCTGATTGGGGTTGGAATTAAACTTTGCAAGACACCGGATCTCCTGGACCGAGTGTGGACACCCCTGCTTTAAGTAAAGTCAACTTGCTGCTTTTAAGGCAATGGGTTTAAGTAAACAATAACTTTTTACAGTGCACTTTTCTTGTTCTAAACCTGTTTGAGTTTCTTTCTTCTGTTGAACGCAAAAGAACCTGTAACCATCGACTTCCATAGGAAAAACAAATACTATGGAAGTCAATGGTTACCGGTTTTCAGTTGTCTTCAAAAGTATTGTCTTTTGTGTTTAACAGAAGAAAGAAACTATTAAAGGTTTATAACCAGAGAATGCAAAAGAACCTGCAACCATCGACTTCCATAAGAAAAACACATACTATGGAAGTCAATGGTTACCGGTTTTCAGCTGTCTTCAAAGTATTGTCTTTTGTGTTTAACAGAAGAAACTAATAAAGGTTTATAACCAGAGAACGCAAAAGAACCTGCAACCATCGACTTCCATAGGAAAAACAAATACTATGGAAGTCAATGGTTACAGGTTTTCAGCTGTCTTCAAAGTATTGTCTTTGTGTTTAACAGAAGAAACTAATAAAGGTTTATAACCAGAGAACGCAAAAGAACCTGTAACCATCGACTTCCATAGGAAAAACAAATACTATGGAAGTCAATGGTTACAGGTTTTCAGCTGTCTTCAAAGTATTGTCTTTTGTGTTTAACAGAAGAAACTAATAAAGGTTTATAACCAGAGAACGCAAAAGAACCTGTAACCATCGACTTCCATAGGAAAAACAAATTCTATGGAAGTCAATGGTTACCGGTTTTCAGCTGTCTTCAAAGTATTGTCTTTTGGGTTTAACAGAAGAAAGAAACTAATAAAGGTTTATAACCAGAGAAAATAGAGTAAAATTTCATTTTAGGGTGAACTGCCCCGTCAAATGCACTCTTCAAAACAGTCGAGCTGATCTTCAGACGACAGCTGGAAAAATGAAAAGGGAAAACCGCAGCATTATATAAGCTCACGTAACCGTCTGTGCTAGCTGAAGTTATGAAGTGAGAAATGACACGCGTCACTGAAAAAAGAAATCATTTATTTAAAAAACAAAGCAAGCAAACAAACAAAAACAGGAACAGAGAGCTATCCAAGGAATCCCACTTTCTGTCGTTTCTTTCCAAGACTTTCTTCTTTCTGGAGCAGATCCATGAGAGGAGCATGAAGAGATTTTCCTACTCGTTTACCAGCCTACAATAAACACAGAGCAATACTCCATATAAACACCAGACGACAACCCAAAAATCACTGAGCTTATTATGAACAAACTGCTGGATTTATGTCATAGTCTAATTCCACACATTGACTGTTTATTCTGATGAATATTAAACATATAAAATGCACAAACTAGAGCAGGAGTGGCCAACCCTGTTCCTGGAGAGCCACCCTCCTGCAGATTTTAGTTGCAACCCATATCAAACACACCTGCCTGTTATTATCACGTGGTGTTCAGGTCCTAATTAATAGACCTTTTACGCACTTCCGCATTTTTCGAACGGAAATACGTCACTGTAGTGCATTAGAACTTCCTGTTATCATAGCGGCAGATACGAAATATGGCAGAGTCGAAGAATCGCAGTTTCTGTTGTGTTCCAGGCTGTTCGTCTTCTAACCAAACACAGTCCTACCTTTTATTTCATTCTTTTCCTGTGGATCCAAACCTGAAACCCAAATGGATACAGGCGATCCGAAGAGAGGAAGGGCATAGTTTTAATGTAAAACAGGTAGCACCTATGTCTGCAGCCGGCACTTCGCTCTGGATGATTACAGTGGTGGCTGCGTCGTTCGCCGCCTGAAGAGTGATGTTGTCCCGAGCCTATTCCCTTGGAACAACTTTACAGCTCCTTTGAGAAGGGAGTCAGTATATGACAGAACCTACAAACGTCAGTCTAAACAGCTATGCTGTGAAGATAGCGACACGGTGGCTAAGGCAGCAAGGATGGATCACGACTACGTGACACACCCACCTGCATTGAGGTAAAGTTGGTATTATATTCACACATTCGTTTATTCAGAAGTCTCTATATTATTTACCATGTTACTTTGAATATTCGATCGAAATAACCATGCAAACATGACTTGAAAACAACATTAACACTGGTTATTTGATTGTGAACAATAGCTGCGTCCCAAATGGCACACTATACACTCATGCACTATGTACTTATGCACTTACACACTCAACAGGATAGTATATGTATGTAGTGTCGTCCCAAATGGCACACTAATGTTTTTTTTACTAAGCGGAAATTCAAACCGTTTCCCTGATGACGTTTGACGGTCGCCAAATCATTGAAGTAAACGGCCGAATTATCAAAAAATACCTGCCGTGAGTATTGCCGCAATCACTATCGGGAGGCGCTTTAATCACTCTCGTAAAAGAATTTTGCTTTCACCATCCAAATTAAATAAAGTTATTCAACATGTGCGTCCGATAGCTCCGCCCCTTCCGCTACGTAAGCAAACCTGCGGTCGTTGAGTGCGTGAAGTGTCCATCATTACACACTTCATTTTAGCTGCTGAATGAGTGCATCATCCGGGTAATTAAAGTGCACTTATTATTTTTAGAGTTTTCAATGTGAACGCACTGCTTACACTATTTATACTAGAAAATGGCGTAGAATAGTGCATAAGTATGCGATTTGGGACGCAGCTAATGCTGTACTTTGATAGTCATTGGCTGCTAATATGATTTCGCTATTTAGAGTTTGCAAATAATACTTTAAAGAAATTATATTGTTAAAGGGAAAGTCTGAATGTGCAAATATAAAATCAACTTTACCACTATCCCACCTGCAGTTAAGATTGTTCATAGTTTATTTAGTTAACGCTAGTCACCTGTGTGTACCGTTATGCATATCTACCTGAACAAATTAATGTTAATAATATAAGCTGTTCACGAAACTCAACTAATAAAATAAATTTTTTTTTTAATAATGAAACAATTTATTGCTGTGACATCTAGTAAATACACGAAGTTTTATCATACTAGCATGTGTGGTAGTATATAAAACAAGTGTGTTACAACTGGCCCTGTGTTAGGTTCTGCCCCGCTCTCCCCTATTTTAATTGCATGTATTTAATTACTTATTTAATTAACTTCGGAAGACAACTCAGGCTCGCCGAAAACACTCTAGCTGCCTTTTCTCCGCCAAAAAACTCATACCGGAACTGGGATTTACACGTTGTTGACGTACTTCCGGTTTTTGCGTAAAAGGTCTATTGGTTCAGGTGTGTTTGATATGGGGAGCAACTGAAATCTGCAGGAGGGTGGCTCTCCAGGAACAGGGTTGGCCACCCCTGAACTAGAGGACATCCTCTGATATAAGTGAAACTCCAGCAGTGTGTTGGTGCCAGATTACTCTACAAACCCTGACACAAACAGTTTAAGGCCTCTGTGGGTTTCTTTCTTCATTTCAGCACATAAGATGATGTTATGAAGAATGTTCATGCAGCCATTGACACCCATGCTATTGATTCCACGTGATTTGCATCGCCTGCCGTTCTGTTCTCATGTGTTCTGGCCTTTTGGCTGAGGAAGTAAAGTTGCAGGCTTTGTTTTTGAACGCACTTCATTCAATTCTCGTTTAATAAACAAGGTAATTCAACAACAAAAATTGTGTAAAATTAGGATAAAAATGATATCCAATGAAATTTGTGTTAAAACAATAATTTATCACTGAATAATACATGCAGTGGTCCAACTTTCATTTGGCTGGCCTACTGTCGTTCCAGTTTCCACGCACGAATATTAAATTCCTTGTTTACTGAGAACCCAGCATAATCATCAATGCTTTTTGACTTGACAGAATTTGTTAATTTGGTGATTAAAAACCAGTGCTGGGCAAGATTTATCGTGATTAATTACATCCAAGATAAAAGTTTGCTATCCTGCTGAAAGTAGTCATCAGAAGATGGAGACACTGGTCATAAAGGGATGGACATGGTCAGCAACAATACTCTGGTAGGCTGTGGCAATGACACGATGCTCAATTGGTACTAATGAACCCAAAGTGTGCCAAGAAAATCTCCCCCACACCATTACACCAGCACCACCAGCCTGAACCGCTGATACAAGGCAGGATGATCCATGCTTTCAAGTTGCTGATGCCAAATTGTGAGCCGAGCATCCAAATGTGTCAGCAGAAATGGAGACTCATCAGAGCAGGCAACGTTTCTCCAATCTTCTATTGTCCAGTTTTGGTGAGCCTGTGTGAATTGTAGCCGCAGTTTCCTGTTCTTAGCTGACAGGAGCGGCACCCGGTGTGCTCTTCTGCTGCTGTAGCCCATCCGCCTCAAGGTTGGACGTGTTGTGTGTTCAGAGATGCTCTTCTGCAGACCTCAGCTGTAACGAGTGCTTATTTGAGTTACTGTTGCCTTTCTATTAGCTGGAACCAGTCTGGCCATTCTCCTCTGACTCTGACATCAACAAGGCATTAGCGCCCACAGAACTGCCGCTCACTGGATATTTCCTCTTTTTCAGACCATTCTCTGTAAACCCTGGAGATGGTTGTGCGTGAAAATCTCAGTAGATCAGCAGTTTCTGAAATACTCAGAGCAGCCCGTCTGGCAGCAACAACCATGCCACGTTTAAAGTCACTTAAATCCCCTTTCTTCCCCATTCTGATGCTCAGTTTGATCTGCAGCAGATCGTCTTGACCATGCCTACAAGCCTAAATGCATTGAGCTGCTGCCATGTGATAGGCTGATTAGACATTTGTGTTAACGAGCAGTTGAACAGGTGTACCTAATAAAGTGGCCGGTGAGTGTTTACATTTATTATGTATTTGTGATGCACACATACACAGACAAAAAAACATGATTTTTTTTTTACATATTCAAATGTTTATATAATTTGTATCATATACCTAAAAATAAATGGTCCCACTTTATATTAAGTGTCCTTAACTACTATGTACTTACATCAAAAAATAAATACAATGTACTTACTGTGTTTATAATGTATTTGAGAACACTTGTGGTGCTTTTGAGTTGGGATAGAGGTTGGGTTATGGACAGGTTTGGTGGCATGGGTAGGTTTAAGGGTGGGTTAAGGTGTAAGGGATGGTCAACAGTGTATTTACAAATGTAATTACAAAAGTTAACTACAGATGTAACTACATACATGTATTTAATCAAGCATAAGTACACAGTAAATACATGTATTTACACAATAAGTACATTGTAACAAACTATGTACCTATGTAAGTACATATTAGTTAAGGCCACTTAATATAAAGTGGGACCAAATAAAGAAACTTCTCAAATATATGCATGCCTTTGTATATTTCTATATGCATAATAAATATACACAGTAGACGCACTTAAATTACGTGAAAACAAACTTTTATTTTAGATGCAATTAATCGGCATAATTGTTGTCCAGTACTACGAAAAACTGCAATTTGGTGACTGCAATATTTTACGGACAATAACTAATCGCACACCCCAACTATTTACTTTTAAAACAATTGTCAAAACTCATCTGACCTCAGTCATCTCGAAGATGCTCTCCGGGTCCAGACTTCCTCCTCCCATCTTCCTGACGCAGGTCACCATTCCCGTGTGCGTGACTGCAATCAGAAGACTCGCCACAGAACAGGCCTTTTCCTGGAGCGTCGCGTCCACCACGTGCCTGTGACCGATCTGACCAACACAAAAACAACACAACTGATGCAGCTGAGGTCAGTATTAGTAGCCTTCCTGTATATTTTTACCCATAATTTCAGTTTAACAAAGAGCAGATTTTTTTTCCAACACATTTCTACATTTCTTATTTTATCTTTGCCATGATGACAGCACATAATACTTAACTAGATGTTCTTCAAGATAATAGTATTCAGCTTAAAGTGACATTTAAAGGCTTAACTAGGTTAATTAGGGTTATTGTATAATGATGGTTGTTCTGTAGACTACTGAAAAAAAAATATCGAAAAAGAGGCTAATAATGTTGACCTTAAAATGCTTTTATTCTAGCCGAAATAAAACAAATAAAACTTTCTCCAAAAGAAAAAATATTATCAGACATACTGTGAAAATGTCCTTGCTCTGTTAAACATCATTTGGGAAACATTTAAAAAAGATTTACAGGAGGGGAAATATAATTTTGACTTCAACTGTATATGGAAATCCATATTAATGTATTAAATATAAGATGAACAGAACGGTGCATTGCAGTACTTTGCAGAGTGTTACGATACAAGGGACGTTCTCCACATTGAGCCGCATGCAGTCGAATGGATCGTCCGAGAGCTCAATCTCCTTCCCTCCCTCCTCATCCTCAGAGATGTGCACTTTGGGGATCCTGTTCCGGAAAAGAGAAAGATAATTTAGCTATACTCATTTAGGGTTTGCACAGTTTGCATAGTCAATTTTAATTACTGTCTGAATTCGAAGTACTGCATTAAGACATCCACGAATCACGTTATCAAGACTCTAATGCTTTCATACTGCCAAAATAACAAAAAAATGTGTGTGTGTATGTATGTATGTATGTGTGTGTGTGTATACATACATACAGTTGATATCAGAATTATTAGCCCCCATTTATTTTATTTCCCCAATTTCGGTTTAACGAGAGATTTCTTTTCAACACATTTCTAAACATAATAGTTTTAATAACTCATCTCTAATTTAGTTTATCTTTGCCATGATGACAGTAAATAATATTTGACTAGATATTTTTCCAAGACACTTCTATACAGCTTAAAGTGACTTTTAAAGGCTTAACTAGGTTAATTAGGTTCACTAGGCAGGTTATGGTAATTAGGCAAGTTATTGTATAATGATGGTTTATTCTGTAGACTATCGAAAAAAAATTACCTTAAAGGGCCTAATAATTTTATCCCTAAAATAGTGTTTAAAAATTAAAAACTGCTTTTATTTTAGCCAAAATAAAACAAATAAGACTTTCTCCAGAAGAAAAAATATTATCAGACATACTGTGAAAATTTCCCTTGCTCTGTTTAACATCATCTGGGAAATATTAAAATAATTAATTAATTAAAAGGGGGGCTAATAATTCTTCAACTGTATATATACATATATATATATATACATACATAAATGATTACTTACTTATTATTATATATATACATTTTTTAATAAATGAAAAAATACAAATCTGCACACTGTTATTTTTTAGAATATACTCATTAAAACAAAGCAACATTTTAGTGAGACAAAATATTGCCTTAGCAATTTTAAAAACTCACTTCGATAACATAAGACAATAAATTTAAGATATAAAATTACTCAAGCTTAAACCAAAATAAACATATATTGAAGTTGAAAGCAACAACAAAATAAAAAAAGCTAAATTAAAAAAACAAATCTACAAATATGATGTGCAAAATGCATAATAAATATCTAAAACATTGACATGAAATGAACATGAAAAAAAAAAATCTAAATATTAGCCTTTTTTATATTTCCTGATGGGAAACAGCCAGGAAAACTTACCGTGTGTTAAACAGAGCAGCTTTTATTGCGATAGATATGGCATCAAACAGGTTTCCGTCACACTGCAACAACTGTAAATAACCATGCAGATATAGTCACAATATTTCCATCATTTATGTCCAGAGATGCTGTGGTGATTGGCCTCTCGTGTCACTCACCAGCACGTCCACATACAGCACCCAGCAGTTTTCCCCTGGGCAGATGCAGAGGGATCTCAGGTCTAAACTGTGTCTGTTGTTGAACACTTTAAGGAGGGTGTTACTGAGCTCCACTCCCAGCTCCTCTCCACCACGCCCCTCAAACTCAGGAGTAGCGTTTGCTGAGCTACAAAAAAAATAAAGTTATACACAGGCACTGTCACAAGCGTGAACAAACTGGTGAATATTCATTGCTAATCTGCATTCGTACATATTAGCATGAACTGGATAGCTTCCACAGTCCAAACACATGCGCTATAGGTGAATTGAATAAACTAAATTGGCCGTAGTGTATGTGTGTTAATGAGCGTGTATGGATGTTTCCCAGTACTGGGTTGCAGCAGGAAGGGTATCTGCTGTGTATGCTGGATAACTTGGTGGTTCATTCCACTGTGGCGACCCCAGATAAATAAAAGGACTAATCCGAAGGGAAATTAATAAATGAATGAATGGCTATCTCTCACGATACATGCACATTTCCACAAACAATCATGTACTAAATTTCCAAATAAAAATAAACAAATAACAAAAATGACTAAATCTTACCCTTAAATAAAAACAAAAAATATAAAATAGTACAATAATATTTTTGTTTTAATATAATTTACGAAACATAAAATAGTACAATAATAATAATAATTATTATTTTATTATTTATTATTAACATTTTATTTAATAAATTCATTGTTTAATTTAATGTTTTCATGTATTACTTTAGTTTTCAGCTAAACTAAATAAAAATGAAAAATGTTTTTTGGGAAACCAAATAAAACAATATATAAATGTTTCTTATTTTTCCAATTAATAATTATTGAATTTCAAATAGCAAACAATGATTTTAAGTTTATGGGTTTAAGTTGAGGAAACTATAATAACAAGATAAATAAATTATAATAAATTATTGACCCTGCACTTTTTGTGCATGTACTGCACTTTAAGTTCTAATATACTTATTTGTTTTGATGGATGTTTCTTATATATTTTTTTGAGGCAGGATGAACTAATAAACATAATCCTAAAAACTCACCAGTCTACAAAAAACTCCAAATAACCTTCGTCTGGTACCATTGGTCTGGGTTTACCAATCTCTGCTTTGATTCCTACGAGAACATCTGTGTGACCCTGTTAAACACATCACACAACAGACTGCATCGATAAAACATAGATGGTAAGTTATAACAACACTTAAAACTCGAAAATACATCTTACAAGACTGATTTTAGCAGATCCATCAGTATTTGACACCACATCTGTCTCGATCTCCATGTGTCTGTAGTCTTCACATCCTCGCCCGTCCAATCTCAGGTCATCCTGAAAGAAATGCATCACTTTTAAAGTTTTTAAAGCTTAAAGGGGACCTATTATGCAAGAATCACTTTTATATGGGGGTTAAGCACAGTTGTGTGGCAGCCGTGTGTGAATATAACCAGCTTCTAATGGTAAAAATGTATTAATGTAATTGTTTATAATCACGCTTGATAAAAACAGTCTGCAGGAACAATTTGATTGACATTCTCCATTTGTACGCGTCATCAGAGGGTGAAAGCCCCGCCCACTAGTGACCATCTCTCCCTCATTAGCATAAACAGCCCTGAGTGAGAAGCAGCAGCTTTGAATCTTCCACTATGCTGACACATTTGTGGCATTTGAAGCATCGCCCTGTTTTGAAAAGAGCACAATCTTTTTTTCAAACAATCCATTTGAATTTAAAGCGACAGTCACCAAAACGTCACAATTAGAATCAAAGCCTAAAAGGGGCAGTTTTAAAGAGTAATAAACCATTATTTGTGTGGTATTTTGAGCTCAAATTCACATATACATTCTGGGGACATCAGAGACTAATTTGTAAACAGAGACATAATAGACCCATATTATAATTCAAGCTATCAAATATCAGTCTGATGAATCATGTTGCATATTCCAATAAAAAAACGTATTATAAACTAAATGTCACAGTACAGGATGTGTGTTTCATATAATATAATATAATATCATAAATTATATTCTATAGTTAACCAAATATTGTGTTTTGGGGTTTTGTCCGGTATAGTTGTCTAGTTTTATTGTAGCTTACAAAACATTAACTTTACGTGTAAGAACTATGTAATTAAGTCAGCTAAATGCAGTCAACAACAGAAAGAAATGTTTCAGACTAATATTTACTAAAATTATTGCATATCTCGGATGTAGAACCCAAAACAGATCACTCAGGGCATCGGACACAATCTTATTAATATTAATACTGTCATATGAACTCAATAAAACTCATATATATTCATATTTGATTTCACTTACTCGAACTCCGTGCATTATATAAACCTTCTCCGCTTCGCACACTTTAACAGCTGCCATTTTTTCAAACACACGGCGAAATTGTGCGTCATCAGAAAGCGCGAGGAAAAGAAAAAAAATGCGGAGCCTGGGGGTTAAACGAGCCAATCATGTTCCCGGGAGTAAGAAAAAAGGCGGGACTATTTGTCTAACGTGCAATCTGATTGGATCAAGAATGTGTCAGTTTCTAGACTAGGAACTACGTTCAGCGCACATGTGTTCTGTATATCGCGAATGTGGTAAGTCTATTCTATTTAAACAAATGATTTTGAATTATATCACATATTTTCTGCACTCTTTACAACTGTTTATCAATGTTAGGCCTGATTATTAGGTTTCCACATCCAGTTGTATACTTCGATCAGTTATGATTATAATTTCGCACTGTTATGATAAACACACTGCCATCATTATTATGACTTAAACAGTGAGAGTTTGCTGTGGTAAGTTACCATCGTATGGTGATGGTAATACCATATCAATTTAGATTTATACTTTTCAAAAGACACAGTCAAACACCCTAACCTTTTAAATAAGACATCGAATATTGTTTCTGTATAAAGAAAGATTCTGGTTATGATGTAAAAACATAGTATTATAAATGTATAAGTAGTATTTAGAAAACAATTAGCTTAAGTTAAGTTAATTGTTTTAAGTGCACTTATTTTTATTCATTTATTATTTATTTCTTAATTTTAATCTGCGATTATAGCTGCCTGTCTTGGTTTAATAATATAATAATAATAATTAATTACTGCTATGCTATTTATTATAATTATATTATTATTAAACTATTCGTTTTTTCATTTGCAGCTTGAATAAAACTATGTTATTGAATATGACAGTGTTATTATTGAGCTAATACTAAATGGAGTATAACATATTTCATTTAAATAAAGCTAAAACAAAAAAATATATATACATATATATATAAATGAAATGTAAAATTGCATTAGTAATATGTATACATGTTACATTTGAAGCTATTTGGAATACAATAAGGGTACAATTTAACATTTTGATTTCATTTTTAAATTTATTTATTTTTTTTTAATTCTCATTTGTCATTTTTGTACATTTATTTCTATGATTACAGCTGTTATTATATTATATTATATTATATTATATTATAATATTTGCTAAACTGTATTTCCTTTTGCAGTTTGTATTGAAACAAAAATCAAGAACAAACCTTAAAGTTACTACCACCAGACTGACCCAAGAGCCGAGATGCTCAGTGAGGATGAAGCTAAAGATCTGCTGTCGTTTCTCACTCTTGAGATGAGAGCGGATGTTAAAGGTCAGGCCACCGGCTACATCTTGGGCCTCACAGGGAACAGGGACGGGTGCCGATACCTGCAGTCCAAACCAGACTTTCTGAAAGCCCTGGTGACTCTAACCAGCGACCCTTCCATTGCCATCGTGAAGGACTGTTTTCATGCCCTGATCAACCTCTCAGCAGACGAAACGCTCCATCAGCCTTTAGTTAAAGAGACTGAGATTCTGTCCAAACTGATCCCGAAGCTCCAGGACCCGGAGTTTGTGTTTTCGGATCGGATCTGTACAATCTTAAGTAACCTGAGCCGACATGAACAAACATGCAGAGATGTGTTCAAAGCCCTGCAGGAGCTGAATGTGGGACTGGACAGACTGGTGGAAATCTTCTGCACGGAGGGCTTTAATAAGAAGGCTTCGCTGCATTATCTGGCGCCCCTGCTGTCCAACCTTACACAGCTGCCCGAGGCCAGACACTTCATCCTGGACAAGGACAGGTGAGCCACACTGCTGTATACTGAGGAGGATAATACTGAATAAAATAAAACAGAAAAACTGTATTACTTTCAAAGCATGTTATTATCATGGTATGACCCAATAATACTGTAAGAATACTGTATGGTTACACAGAAAACTGTATTACTTTCAAAGCATGCTATTATCATGGTATGGTCCGTTAATAGTGTAATAATACTGAATGGTTACACAGAAAAACTGTATTACTTTTAAAGCATGTTATTATCATGGTATGACCCAATAATACTGTAAGAATACTGTATGGTTACACAGAAAACTGTATTGCTTTCAAAGCATGCTATTATAATGGTATAGTCTAAAAATCTTGTAGTGCATGCAAAAAAAACAACAACAGTATTATCATGGCACAGAACCAAAAAAAATAATATTAGAATACAGGTCAAAAATAAAAGCAGGAATCAAAGATGACATTGCTATGTAGTAATTGTAAAAAATAGAAATACATGGAAATATCTTTTTTTTTGTTCCCTATTATGAATATATCATGCTTTTTTTGGCATCTACTACATAGTAATGGCATAGTAAATATCCAAAAAAGCATCAAAAAGAGGCGATTACCATGTAGTAAATGCCAAAAAGTATGTTTTGTTTTTGTTCCTTAATGTATTTATACCATATTTCTTGGCATTTACTGTCATTACATAGTAATTTCATGGTAAATGTCCAAAAGAAGCATATTATAATTATAATAAGGAACCAAAAACATGATATTACCATGTAATAAATGGAAAAAAGCATGATAAAATCATGTTTTTTGTTTCTTTATATGATTATACCATGCTTTTTTGGCATTTACTGCATGGCAATGGAATGTTAAATGTCCAAAAAAACATGGTTTAATCATATTAGGGAATAGAAACATGACATAACCATGTATTAAATGCCAAAAAAAACATGGTAATATCATGTTTTTGTTGCTTTATATGATTATACCGTGCATTTTTTGACATTACCATTACATGGTAATCTCATGGTAAATATCCCAAAAAAAGCATGGTACAATCATAATAAGGAACCAAAAACATGATATTACCATGTAATAAATGTAAAACAAAGAAAAAAAAGTTTAAAAAGCGTGGTAATTTCATGTTTTTGGTTCATTATTATAATGATACTATGCTTTTTTTGGACATTTACCATGGGATTGCCATGTAATTTCAGTAAATGCCAAAATAACATGGTATAATCATATTAAGGAACAAAAACATGATATTACCATGTTTTTTTGGCATTTACGACATGGCAATATCAAGGTAAATGTTCAAAATATGTTATTTAGTAACCAAGATATGGCTTTACCATTTAGTAAAATGTAATATTGTAGTAAAAAACATGGTAATAATATGTGTTTTGTTTCTTAATATAATTATACCATGCGTTTGACCAATTACTACATCAAAAGCAGGATATTGTCATGGTATAGGACCATAAAGCAAACAAAATGCCATGGTGTTAAAACCATGACTTTTAGTTGTACATGCCCAAAAACATGGTATTTTAAGAAGTGTAATAAAAATTATGATATTACAATAATAAATATCAAAAAGCATAGTATTATCATGGTATAGGTCCATAAAGAAAACAAAAAATCATGGTGTCCCTACTGAAAAAAACAGCTTATACAGCCTGAGCTGGTTGGCTGGTTTTAGCTGGTTGACCAGCCTGGTTTTAGAGGGATTTTGGTCACTTCCTGGTTGGTTTCCAGCCATTTCTAGGTCTTAGATGGTCAAGCTGGGTTTAGCTGGTAATTTTCCAGCCTGGCCATCTAAGACCTAGAAATGGCTGGTTTAAGCTGGAAATAGCTGGTTTTGGCTGGGCTCCCTGCCTGGCTAGACTGGTCAAGCTGGTTTTAGCTGGTCAACTCCCAGCCTGACCAGCTAAGACCAGGCTGGAAATGGCTGGAAACCAGCCTGGAAATGGCTAAAACCCCTCTAAAACCAGCCTGGTCGACCAGCTTAAACCAGCCAACCAGCCTAGGCTGGTTTGGGCTGTTTTTTCAGTAGGGGTGGGTCAAAAACATGACTTTTATGTAGTACATACCCAAAAAGATGGTATTATAATCATGGGATGAATTTATTACAGATTATTTACTTTTTTTTTTTTTACAGTCTACGAGTGTATCTAAGCCGGTGAAAGTTGATAGTCTCGTGTGTGTGTGTGCAGGTGTGTGATTCAGAGACTCCTGCCGTTCACACAGTATGAGGAGTCCATCACCAGACGAGGAGGGGTGGTGGGAACACTCAGAAACTGCTGTTTTGACTATGGTACATGTGTTCATTCACCAAACTTTATAATCTCTAGTGCCCAAAACGATATATTGTGCAGCAAAAATTCTAATCAAATATGATGTATTATCTTTACAGTCCATCATGAGTGGCTGCTCAGCGATGCTGTCGATATTTTACCGTTCCTTTTATTGCCATTGGCTGGACCAGAGGAGCTCTCAGAGGAGGAGAATGAAGGTGACGCTTTAAAAAAAATATATTATTATTATTTTTAATAGTGTTTTTGATGAAACGATGTACATTACAGTGCAGGTATTCAGAAGCAAGGGTAATTTAGTTTTGTTCCTTTTCCTTTTTTTTTAACCAGAAACTTAAGACAGAAACAAATGGACATAATCATTTATTCATTCATTCATTTTCCTTCATCCTAGTCTTTTATTTATCAGGGGTCACCACAGCGTAATGAACCGCCAACTATTCCGGCATATGTTTTACACAGCGAATGACCTTCCAGCTGCAACCCAGTACTGGGAAACACCCATTCACACACTCATACACTATGGCCAATTTAGTTCATCAATCCCCCTATAGCAGGGGTTCCCAAACTTTTCAGCCCGCGACCCCCAAAATAACAATATCAGTGATTCGCGACCCCCATTTTTCAAGGTGGTTACACTGTAAATATATAAACCTTGTAGACACAACTATAGGCATGTATAAACATGAGCACATTGACAACACATAAATGCAACAGTCTATTAACCATATATATTTTTTATATTCATTTATTAATTTATAATATAAAACGTAAAGGCTGATGACTGATTTTTATTTGTTTATAATAGATAATAATAATAATATAATAATAATTTTGTTTTTGTTTATTTGTATGTTGTTGTGTATTTAACACTACTATTATCCTCTGTGGGTTATGAGTAAAATATGGTCATCCAAAACTCAAATAAGTTTTATTAAACTATTTGGAAATCACCAAGCGACCCCTTGTCATTGTTACGCGACCCCCACTTTGAGAACCACTGCCCTATATTGCATGTGTTTGGACTGTGGGGGAAACCGGAGCACTCAGAGGAAACCCACAACAACACGGGGAGAACATGCAAACTCCACACTGAAATGCCAACCGGCCCAGCTGGGACTCGAACCAGCGACCGTCTTGCTGTGAGGCGACAGTGCTAACCACTGAGTCTTCTGCTTCACTCTGGTTTATCCAGTAGATGCCGCTGTTTGCTCATTTAGTTGTGCTTCAGCTTGAAGCTTTATTGTATTTCCACAGCATGTGAAGGGAAAATGGACCGAGCAGAGTGGAAATTCTGCCATTACAGCAGGAAGTTGTGAATTTGCGAAGCCAGAGATTTTTGTTAAAAGCGTGCGGTTTCATAAAAGCTGTTTGAGAAGTTTATATATAACATATTTTCCTCTTATTGCACCAGGCTGCTCTGACCAAAGCATTTGAAAAACACATTGTGAAAAGAGAGAGGAACCGTCCTAGTTAATAAGTGACCTTATGAGACCTTTATGAAGTGCTTGCGAAGCCTGTATCGCTGTAGCCTCAGACTAATATTATTACAGCATGTTTGGACTAGCGTGCGCAGCATAATTGGCAAATGGTCCTTGTTTTTATTGCTCGTTCTGAGATTTGAACAATCCCTTAAAGGAACAGTCCACCTTTATTTTAAAATAAATTCTCATTTTATAAGTCTCAGGGGGGAATGATGGCGCAGTGGTTAGCACTGTCGCCTCACAGCAAGAAGGTCGCTGGTTCGAGTCCCAGCTGGGCTAGTTGGCATTTCAGTGTGGAGTTTGCATGTTCTCCCCTTGTTGGTGAACGTTTCCTCTGGGTGCTCCAGTTTCCCCCACAGTCCAAACACATGCGCTATAGGGGAATTGAATGTATGGTGTAGTGTATGGGTGTTTCCCAGTACTGTGTTGCAGCTGGAAGGGCATCTGCTGTGTAAAACATATGCTGGATTAGTTGGCGGTTCATTCCACTGTGGCGTCCCCTGATAAATAAGGGACTAAGCAGAGGAAAATGAATGAATTTATAAGTATCCTAGAGTTAAATCGTTTTTAAATCCATTCAGCAGATTTCTTGTTCTAGCAGGGTCACTTTTAGCTTAGCTTAGCATAATGAGTTGATTTGGATATGACCATTAGCATTTCATTCAAAAATGTCCAAAAAAATAGTTGATAATTTTCCTATTTAAAGCTTTGAAATGTGATTTATTTTGTATTCAATGTTTGACTTAATCTCAACCGAAACATGAAGAGTAGGCGGGACATATAGTAGCTCCTCCCCCCTTAAAAAAACAACAACAGCCAATAGCGTTTTGTTTTATAACAGCTCTGCCAGTGAGAGTGGTTGAGCTCAAGCATGTCAAATGAAAAGCAAATGAGAAGTGTCTTAAAGGGGGCGGGGCATGACAGATACTAGAGAGCATTCGATTGGTCAGAAGATTTGAGGAGAAACTAAAGCATGGGGTGATGTCTAAAAAATCATTGATCCAGCTATGTTTATATCTTCTAAATGCTAATTTTGTCACAGCTTTTATAGCAAACTAGCTAATAGCTATCCTTAACACTAACACATTGATAATAACAAAAATTTTAATTCACAGGACATAGGATTATGACAAAGTTTTGCACAGACAAACATTGCTTGGTTGTAACTCTGCAATTCAATCTTACACATTGATGTATTTTACCCTTTTTAAATTTCGGCTGTATTTTACAGGTTTGCCGGTGGACTTGCAGTATTTGCCTGAAGATAAAAGGCGAGAAGAAGATCCTGACATCCGCAAGATGCTCTTAGAAACTTTGATGCTTGTAAGGGATCCTAAATCTTTCATCTATCAGATATATAAATAGTTTTTTTTAGTTACTGGTGATGGACATAAGCATTCAAAAGTGTATAGTTTGTGAGATTTCTTTAAAAGGTTCGCAAACTTAATTATTTTTATTTTTTACTATCGAGATTTTGACATCAAAAGCATCGTAATTTAGGAGTAATGAACTATTTTCTGTTCTTGACTCCGTCATCAGAACACCCTTTGGATGAGTAAGAGACTAGTATAGACTCAAAAGTGAAGCCCACTGCTCTGATTGGTTAACAGTTTTGCATATTAATACTAGTAGAAGCATTCTTCTGTGGAGGCGGGGCTTATCAACCTTATTACATCATAAAGTAGAACATTCCATAATTTGTCATTTGGTTTTGGCTGATTTATTTTAGAAGAAAGACAAAAAGTTTTGAGTTCTGAAACTCACAGAATGTTTTCGTAGTACTGCAAGCTCTTATATGTCGAAATATTGTGGGAATTTTGGATTCTCAGTTTATGACCCCTTTAATATTTTTGCATGTCTCTTCTGGTCATCCCAAAAATGCAGTAATATTGTGAAATGTTGCTTCAATATTAAGAGTTTTCTGTTTACACATGCTATAAAATTGTATTTTTTTCACTTCAGTGCCATGCGATCCTTTTGAAATGAGTATAATATGATGAAGTAAAATCCTTATAAATGTTTTTAAAAAAGCTGTGCTGCTCATTAAATTTGTGAAAACTTGTATTATTAAAATATTAAGCATTTATATGAAATACAGGCATTTGTAGCATTAAACTAGACAAATTATGCCCCTTTTTACAAGATATAAAATAGTCTCTAGAGTTTCAGCTCAAAATACCACATTAATAATGTTGTATAACTGTTTGGAACGGCCCCTTTTAGGCTTTGATCCTAATTGTGGTTATTTGGTGACTGTCACTTTAAATTTAAATAAGATTGTGCGCTTTTTAAAAGAGGGTGGAGCTACAGATGCCTGTGTGTCAGCGTAGTGGCAGATTCAGAAACAAGACTAACGTTTTATGCTAATGAGGGAGAGATGGTCACCAGTGGGCGGGGCTTTCCCCCTCTGACAAAGGGAGAATGTCAATCAAAGTGTTTCTGTAGACTGTTTTTATCAAGTGTGATTATAAATTTTTTTTTATTAATAAATATTTACCATTAGAAGCTGGCTATATTCACTCACTGTTGCCACACAACTGTGTTTAAACCCCTTATAAAAGTGATTTTTGCACAATAGCTCCCCTTTAAAAAGTAATTCCTGTCACTTTTGACCAATGGGATGCATCCTTGCTGGTTAAAGATGTTGTATATTGGTTTGTCTGGCGTTTCGTCTGGTTTCTCAGTGGTCTGTTTGTACTCAGCTTACAGCTACTAAAGTGGGCCGGCAGATTCTGAAGAGCAAGAACGTTTATCCCATCATGAGGGAGTTTCACAAATGGGAGAAGGATCCGCATGTGATCTCAGCCTGTGAGAAACTTGTCCAGGTAAAGCAAAAATTACATTTGTCAACAAAAAAAGAAATGTTGGCAGCTTGAATTGAATCAACCGCTTGCCAAAATATATTCTGGGATTGCTTTATGCATGGAGGGATCACGTATGAAGCAAATCCAAAATATGTTTTGGCAACGAATCAATTCGAGATGATCGATGCGGCAATGTTTTGAGACCATTTTACTTCATGTTTGTGTGTAGTTTTGGTTTATTAAGCTGTCCTCTGGAATACTTGATTCTGATTGGTCAATAGCGTCATTCCACGTTGTGTTATAGTTGTATAATTCAATTCAATTCAATTCAGCTTTATTTGCATAGCGCTTTTACAATGTTAATTGTGTCAAAGCAGCTTCACACAAATGGTCATAGTAACTGGAACAGTGTAGTTCAGTTTTTAGTGTTTAAGTTCAGTTCAGTTTAGCTCAGTTCAGTGTGTTTTATAACAACTGATTAAACTAGTAACTCCAGGTTCATCTATTATGATTCTTTAAATTATTACAGTTCAGATTAGGGCTGCATGATATTGGAAAAATCTGACATTGTGACGTTTTGTTTTTCTGCAATAAATATTAATACAATATTATACAATTTTACCAGATGGCTTGAAAGAAATCTTGAGTTTAGAATGATTGGGGTGATTTTGGTCATGTATAAATATAATAAACAAAATGCAAGCAAGAATAATTACAATAGAGCAAAGAAAAAAGTAAACAAAAATGAGTCTAACAGTATAGTAATTGAGTAATGAAATGTAAAACAACATTGTATGGTCATCATTGTAATAATTCAGTAAAATCATTCTTCATTACAGTTACAAATGTTGTAGATTTTTGTTCCCGGATGCTTTAAACTTCATTAAAATGGCCTTAAAACACATGCAAATTATAAAGTTTCACTCTATTATGGTATATTTAATTCAGTATGGAATATACTATACTGAATTTTTACACCACAATTCTCATGCTTTCTCAATTGTTGATCAACTACAATCCCAACTCAACATTGCCTGTTCTGCGATCTGACTATTGTGGACACACACATTGTTATATCGATGCTGAAATGATATATTGTGCAGCCATAGTACAGATCAGTGTTTTGTGGAAAATATCCATGTCATAAGCAGGATAAAGTACATGCAGCCGGTTCTTTTTGATGTGACAATTTTGTCCAAAATTGTTTCATTTTTTTTTTGTGAGTTTTCAGGAAAATACGCTAGTCAACACCTTTAAACTTATCCATAGCTGTGTTTCTGTTAACCTTCCAAACCACATTAATTGAAATATTTTTATTGCAGTTTCACAAAAACTCCTTTATTTTGTAAAAACAAATTTGGTTTACAGGTTGACTGGTCTATGGAAAAGTTTGAAAACATTTGCATAAATTATGAATAAATATGAATAAATTCTAATAATGGAAGATGATCTGGTGGACAATTTTAATTATATAAGAAAAAGTTTCTCCTCCCAACTTATATTTTTATTTATATATATATTTTTATTTTTAATGTTCTTGTTTTTTAGTTAGTGACGGTTTTGTTCTCATTGGATGAAAACGCTGCATTGTTCGCAAATCTTTTACGCAATATTCCAGTTATACGTTATTGGATGAAAAGATAGCCATCAGCTAGGTGTGTCCCAGCCTTTAAAGGGTTAAACATGTAATGTGTGATTAAAAATTGTTGAAGCTAGCATTTTCACAGAGATGGGTTGCGGCTGAAAGGGCTTCCGCTGTGTAAAAACGTGCTGGATAAGTTGGTGGTTCATTCCGCCAAGACTAATAAAGGGACCAAGCTGACGAAAATGAATAAATGAATGTAGCTAGCATGACGCAGCAGATGCTACAAATTATAACAATACCCCACTGTGTATAGTTACATCAAACAGTTAATAAATCCTAAACGAAGAGCGGAAAGAACTTTGCTGCTGGTACATTTAGGTTCCATTTCACTTCAAATCAATGCACTTCAATCCAATTACATGTCTGTTGCATCACTTTAGCAAAACTCATCGCATGCAAAATTTTCTGTGGATGTGTTGTGCTTTAGTAGACTCAGAATGCAGATCACTTCCAATCCTCCAAAACCAGGATTTATGAGCTTGGTTGACACACAAAATAAGCCAGGAGACACTAATTTGGTGGAAAAAGCCTGTTCCTTGCAGCGTGGCAGGCGTATATTTGGGTACAGCCCCATGGAAAAGATGTCACAGGGTCTCCTATTAAAGCATGATATTCTCCATAACGTCTGGGAGATCCCTTTTGAACTGCAGGCCAGAAGCAGCGGTTCGGCCGCTTGCCTCAACCCAACCGTTTTAATTAGCATCAATAAAAGCAGCTAATATGCTGTGGCTAATATTTATCCAGGATTAATGGCCGCTTTTTCTTAATGCAGCAGTTTTTAAACTAACACCACACTTTGGGAGCTATCAAGTTACTGGGTTTTTTCCATGTTGTCGGGTTCCCGAAATTGGTACTTGGGGATGACAGTAAAACTGAAGTGCTGTCTGGCATCTCGTTAGCTTCTCTCGAACGCTATTCAGGTCCAGTCGGGTTTCATGTGCAATTGTGCGTGTCTTTCGATTAAGGCTTTGATTGGAGACGAGCCGGAGGTGGGAATGGAGAACCTGATGGAGGTGGAGATTCCCAAAGACGTGGAGGAAAAACTCCAGGAACTGGACGCCAAGGAGCAGGAGCAAATGGAAAAGGACAAACAGGAGCTAGAGAAGAGCCAGAATGAATCTCGGGAAGGCCTGGAGAGATGAATACACATCAGAACTAATACAATACTCAAATAGAGACTATATCAATGTCGAATGTACAGCATCTGTATGCGAATGAAAATGAGTATCTGAGGATCATAATTAAAGATGTTGTCATGTCTTTGGCTTGATTATGATGCACAATACAATACACTTGAAAAAGAAAAATACTACAGCGATTTTTATTTTTATTTTTTATACATATATATAAATACTACTGTGTTTTTGAACCATACTGTAGTAAAGTGTATTATACTGTAAATATATTATGATATATGCAACTCTTTGTTATGAATGCTATAGCATGCTGTCGTATTAACTATCGTGAACTGATAAACTGTGAAAATACTGTAGTATACTTCAGTTTTTTTCGATATCCTGCTGAAAAATCCAGCTTAAACCAGTCAAGGCTGGTTGCCTGGTTTTAGCTGGTTGACCAGCCTGGTTTTAGAGGAGTTTTGGCCATTTCCAGCCTGGTTTTAGCTGGTCTGGCTGGAAAATGACCAGCTAAATCCAGCTAAAACCAGCTTGACCAGTCTGGTTTAAGCTGGACATAGCTGGTTTTGGCTGGGCTCCCATCCTGGCTAGGCTGGTCAAACTGGTTTTAGCTGGTCATCTCCCAGCCTGACCAGCTAAGACCAGGCTGGAAATGGCTGGAAACCAGCCTGGAAATGGCTAAAACCCCTCTAAAACCAGCCTGGTCAACCAGCTTAAACCAGCCAGCCAACCAGCCTAGGCTGGTTTAAGCTGTTTTTTTCAGTAGGGTAGCAAGTCATTTGTTTATATTACTCTAGTTCTTATATTGATAAATATAGAATACACACACAACACACTAATTCAAGTGCTTTACTATAGTATAATTCAGAAACACTACAGTTTTTACTGTGAGATACTACATGTGGGAGGTTTTGGTGGAACAATGTTGTTTTTCATCTGGTTGTATGTGCTAGGTTGTATTACCGAGTGGTCAAACATTTAAATCAACATGAACTGACAAGAAAGCTATTTTGTGCCAAAACACTGATTTTGTCTCAATTTGATTATGGCTGGATATTAAAGTATAGCTAAAGCTGGATAATGGAGTTCACAATAACTCATTACAGACTGTAAAATGTAAACAGAGATTAATTTTCCACATATTCCATTATAAAGAAATAAACTCTCTCTTAAGTGATTTTCAAATGACAATGTCATTTGCTGTAGCAAAAACTAAATATACTACAACCAGTCACAGTTGACTTTTAATACCACAGTATGCTTTAGCATTCATTAACAGTGTTGTAAATATAATATAGAGTATGATACTTTACTAGAGTACTTTATACTATTCTATGTTTTGGGTCATCTACGCATATTTCTGTCGTGTAAATGTTTTGGTAGTTTTAAACTTGATGATGAAAACAAAACCAAGTGGTATTTTGCTGCCGCCGTGTGGATATAATAATAATACAACTTCAAAACTCACCCATCGTTCATCAGATTTTAAGGTAATTTTGACCTCTCTGCCGGTTCCAAGACGACATTCTGCTGCTCTGAAAAGTTTATTACAAATACATGCATATTTTACAATAAAAGTCACCGATAAATATGTATCTAAATCTTATCATGAGTGTGGTTCTGATAGTTTAGCACTTAGCATTACAGTAGTGCCAAAATCGTGGTCATAAGGGCTAGCGACGTTTTCACTCTAATGAAATATAAATTATATATCATATAAAAACAGTTACAATATGGAACTGTTAAGTACGTTTATGTTTATGTACAATTTAAAGCATAAGCCTGCAAGTCTCAAAAATAGTAATACAATTTGTGTTTGCAATTTAAAGACTCTCCTTTGCTGCTGAAAAAAACAGCTTAAACAGCCTAAGGCTGGTTTTAGCTGGTCGGCCAGTCTGTTTTTAGAAGGGTTTTAGCCATTTCCAGGCTGGTTTCCAGCATTTCCAGCCTGGTCTTAGCTGATCAGGATGGAAAATGACCAGCTAAAACCAACTTGACCGGCCTGGTTTAAGCTGGGTAGGATAGCTCGATTTGGCTGGGCTCCCACCTGTCTAGGTCATCTTTCAGCCTGACCAGCTAAGACCAGCCTACCCAAAACCATTCTAAAACCCAATAGTATCTGGATGCAGCCTTTATAATGCTGCATCACTCAGCGATGCAATGACAGACTCAATGTACTCAAGGGAGTGATTGACGTCACTGTGACTGGTGGGGTAAGGTGAGCGCATTAAAAAGCATTGGATGCAGCTCAGATTGCACTGCACCGAGTCTGCAGCCAGACCCCTCTTCTGAAACCAGGCTCATTGACCAGCTAAAACCAGCCAACTATACTAGGCTGGTTTAAGTTGGATTTATCAGCAGGGATTGTGGGCGTTTTTTTTTTTTTTTTTGCTGTATTTTTGTGATCATTTTTGCCATAAATGCACACAGCATAACCTATATTAGTTGTATTTTTATTGACATTTATTTCACTCCATTTCATTTTTTTTTACTGGATACAACCAAAAAGTTCCTCTCAGGACACAACGTTCCCACTGAAACCTATTAAAAGCGCTATATAATCCCAGGCTGTGTAATTAATCAAGAAGACACATTCTTTGTTAACAGTGTTCCCTTTAGTTGCCAAGTCTTAACATTTTATTAAACTTTTTTTTTTTCAATGTAAAATATTTTGCCTCATATTTTTCAGGTCTGTCCTGTGGTGCAGGTAATCACATTTTCTCCAGGTTTCTTAAAATTATTAAATTAGTATTATGTATGTGTGTGGATTAATGTTGATATCAGAGGGTTTTCTCTGTATAAACACTGATAAAGTTGCATGTGTGGATTTTTTAATGTAACACTGCACTAAAAAATAATAATGGATCAAAAATAAGGTTGCCAACTTAACCTAAGCTGTAATAATAATTAAAAAATAATCAGCTTAGCTTTTAATATATTGAAAATAAATGGTATTTTTATTCATAAAAACAATAACAGTGGCATAATGTATACATGTTAACATAAACTGTTATTTAAAAAGTTAAAATAACATTAAAATAAACAGATTTTTTTGGTGATTATCATCAGGACTGATGCTGCTAGAAACTTTGAAAGTGTAAAACATCTTAAATACTGTGTCATCCTTGTCTAAGACCCATAATCCCTTTAAATTGATGCAGGGTTAAAAAGCATTAGATTATGACCGAAACAGTCTCCATCATTGAGTCAGAGTGCGCTATTAAGTCATTAATCAGGCAGTGTTCATCTTTCTGACAGGCCGGTGAGTGTTAAAGTGCATGTTGGTGGTATACTGAGTTGAGATGTTGGACAGGTGGAAAGAGAATTAACCAGGAAACCCAGAGAAAGCAGATGGACGTGAGCCACTGAAAACAGCTTCCACAGCAGGAAGAAAAACAAATTACTGTAAAATCAGTCAAAATATAACTATGGTGCTTGAGTAAATGTCCATTGAGGTTATCATCACGTCACTGTGGTCCACATTTCAAGACGTCTTGATATCCTGCATGTATTGAATCAGATTGGGTCATTTTTAAACTATAGAAATGTAAGGGTGATTCAAGGTCATACCATGTTTTAGACTAGACGGAGCTGCTAAAAACATTCATATATCGTCATTATGGTCTGTATGGATAGGATGATTGAAAACTGCATTCAAGGTTTTTTTTTAACTGGTTAGCCACTCTAAAACTGAAATGCCAGGGGGGGTTCAGGTGATTCGAAAGACCCACCCCTTACTGACAAAGATCCCGAATTTATCCCATAAGTGAGCTCATTTATACTATTTTGTCTGCTATGCCATCTAAAATTTGGGGGAAAACATTGAAAAAAGGCTTTAAGACCAAGTGAAGTCATCTTTCGCTACTGTATTGCTTTTAAATAGAGACAATATTTTATAACTGACTTTTATTCTAAAACTTTGACCTTATTCTTGACACAAAAACTGATCAATTAAAGTTGTGAAGCACCAAAAGCGACCCATATTACAATTAAATTACAATTAAATGTATTTTTTTTTTTACAAAAAAATAATTAATCTCTACACTATTATTATTATTATTGTTTTAAATATATTTTTTTCAAATGAATAAATTCTGACTGAGGAATGTTTGATGTTTGTTATTTGCCTAATAAATGACCGTAGGCTACATTTTTAATTTAGAACTTTAACAGATTCTATTTGTTTTCTAATGATGATGTAATACATCTGTATTTTAAAATTTTATTTAAAAAATAGAATTTATTCCTATTTTTTATTCTAAATCTTTAGGAAATATTTTGGTACATCAAAAAATGTGGTTATGCTAATCATATGACAAGCTAATACAGCTACAAATAATGCTTTAAATGCGGTATTTAAACCTCATAGTTAAATAGAAAATGAGGCGTACAACCAGCCTGATCTCACAAGAAAACAAAGTATTTTACGTTTTTTCAGTTTAGCGGCTAGTTCATACAAGTTCAGTCATTCGAAATTGTACAACTTCAAAAAGAAGGTGTGGCTCCTAACCCCACCCCTAAACCCAACCGCAATTGGGGGATCAAATCATACTAAATTGTAGGAGATAGATAGTACAAATTCATACGAATTAGCCACTAAATCAAAAAGTTACAAATTGTCATGAGATTGTGTTGGTATAACTGCAAGAAGGTCCATTTTTGAGAAAAACCACTGCTTTTACTATGCTGGCTTCAGGCCTCTATAATAATACTCAGACTTTAGGTTTAATATTAGCCTTTTGTTTTTATAAGTGAAAACATAAACTGTTTGTCAAGTAGTGCACCTATTTTTACAACTCAGTCTCATTCCGAAAACGTACCCGTGTATACACATTTCTGGAAAGCACCAAATACGTCGCAGGAGCTACGTATATAAGCAGTTTCGCTCAGTGACAGAGCGAGTCCTGTGTGTTTATCCTAATGACCTCACACACCCTCGATTTGTGGTTTGGAAACAGCATCAAGACTTTTCATATGTTGTACATTTTATTAGACTGCACAAAGCAGCATTAAAATGAAAGCCTAAAATGTGTTAAGTCAAATAACACAGAGCCAATACATCTTAACATGATCACAAGCTAGAGAACTGGAAGTTGTGGACTGTGGCATAATAAAAGCTCTG